GTTCAAATTCCAGCTAACCACGTTCCATCTGTGTGACCTTCAGAAAGTTACCTAACCTCTCTGTGCCTCAGTGGCCTTATCTATAAAAAGAACAAAATAATAGCGTATCCCTCATAGAGTTGTTAGGATGATGAGTTAATATATTAGAAAGCGCTCTGGGCTAAGCCTGGCACATGGCAAATGCCATACAAGTTGTTGTTGTTGTTGTTGTTGTTAGATATGTAAGGGAACGTCTGTTCAGGCGGCCAAATCACCTTTGGTAGCATAATTTGCAGCTGCTGGGGTTCCCTGGTATGATAGGGCTTGCATTCATTTAACCTCCTCTGCTGCTGGGCATTTACACTGTTGCAGTTTTTTTCCTTTTTCTTCTATAAACAACAACGGGATAAACATCCTTGAACAAACACCTCTGCACACATCTTTATTTGTTCCTAAAAATTCAACTGCTGAGTCACAGATCACACATATTTTTAAACTTCTGATCCATCATTGCCAACGTGCCCTTCACAAAAGTTGCACCGGTTTACCCTCCGCTTACATCCGCACACCCGCTCCCCCCACCCTCACCTGGGGCCCTGGGCCGACTCTAAAGTCTCTCCCTCCTGCAGACTAGCCTCCTTACCCGTCTGCCTGTCTCCCGCACCCATGCTGCAATGCCCCCCAGCGAAGCAGTGAAGTTTGCTGAAATGGATGAACTGGAGATGAGGTTTGGGGATCCTATTTTCAGCCTCCTGGGATAAATCTATGCTTCTCATTTTCCCCCACATGTAAAATGTGGGTCAACACACCTGCCAAGAATCAAACACTATTTAAAGGTAGTCTATGAAATTGTGTGGGACTACATATTCCATGCATCCAAATGACACCAAAATTCCAGACAGAACAGGCAAAAGTTTAGCTTGTTAATCGCACAGCGAGTGATTAAATTTTGGGTATTTTTAAACCATTTCCAGCATCCAATATCAAGGCTCCCAAGGGACCATACCAGAGCCCCAAAGCTGCCACGTTAGAGCTCTCTCTGGACTCCAAACCACCTTGGAGACATATCGTTTGAGTACAAATGCACACAAGCCATCACGTTCCTATTTGCAAGCAGACTGATGTCCCACTTGCCCATACCACACTAAGAAATAAAAAAGGGCCCAGCTACAAAAGGCATCAAGAGTCTGCCCTCTGAGGACCGTAGCAAGCTTGTGTGTGGGCATGGCAGCGTACCGGGCTCCTTCTCACAGTGCTGAATGAGGGAGGGCCCTTATACCCATTTTGCTGATCAGGAGAATGAGGCTCAGAGAAATTAAGAATTTTCTGAGCAGCTGAGAAAAAGAGAGGAGACCCTGACATTACATCCTCTGGTCACCAAATCCCTGCCCTCCCTACACTTCAAGACACTGAGGGCGTCTGGAGAATGCTGGCCACCATGTGCATCAGTCACCCGTGAGACTTCCTAGAACGGCCCCTACCACCCACTACTTCTCTCTGCAACAAAAAGACCTGCTCAGACTGGGCACGACAACTTACAGACATCCTCCCAGCGCCACAGTTGAGGGGCACCTGGTTTTCCGCACCTGATGTCAGAGCTGTGATGTCACTCCAGATACTGTGCCCCAGTTTGTCCCACGTGGCAGGAACCTGAGGTCTCAGCAGAGTCCCCAAGGGCACATCTCAGGGAGATCTGGGTTGTGTGGAGAAGCCAGAGAAGGAACTGGAACATTCCAGAAGAAGAGACCCCAGGACACTGAGAAGCTCGGGGACATCAGCCCTCCAACTGCCATTTGCTGACCGCCTGCCGGACACTGCACTCAACATTCACGCATGCTCTCACAGCTCGCTGAAGAACACAACCAGCTAGGCACCATGATGGTCCCACTTTACAGATGGGAAAAGTGTGGAGCAGCTCAAAGACTGGCCCGAAGCCAGGCGGTCTGAACACACAGGGATGACTCAGGGCTCAGGACTCAGGTCTGAAGCTTGAGCACCACCTCTTCCCAGCTGTATGGAGAAGGGACTGACCTCACCAGGAAAATGGGCATAATAACAAACAGGGAGAATGTGAAAACGATCAACAGCTAGAGAAATAGGAATTCAGCAAACAGGTTTAATGAAACAATTCCCTAATGCTGACATGGGGGGCAGGGAGTTAAGGTCTCTAAGAAATTATCCTGGAGATGCATGGGATGGGTGGGCTATGTGCGCCTATGCCTGGGCTCAGTCGACAATTATGGAGCACTTGCTGTATGCCACCACAATAAATGGGGCACCATGCTGGCTTTGACCTGCTCATCATCCAACGGGAGAGATGGGTCAAAATCTCACAGGTGCCTGTGAGCAGGGATAAGGTAGGGTAGGGACAGATCCAAACTTCCTAGCGGCCAACAAGCCAGGGGAGGCGGGGGGTTCTCCATTACAGGAACAGCCAGGATCAAGGAACCAAAAGGAGGATGAAGCCCAAGAGGTGCCCACCAGGGCCAGGCCCCTCATCTGTGCTACCTCAGGGAGCCTCAGGCCGACTCTCAGAGGGAGGGGTCAACAGTTCCATCTCTAAGATGAGAAAACTGAAGTCAGAGAGGTTAAGCAAGCTGTCTGAAATCACACAGCTGGCCCGCAATGGGGTTGGGATTTGAACCCTTGTCTGTGGGACAAAGAAGAGGACAGGAAGGAGTTGGCTGGGGGTATGGCCGCAAAGACCCCAAGACAGAGACTGAAGGGATGCACTGGCTCCCAAGGCCTGATGAGAGGTGCAAGGGGGGCCTGTGAGCTACGACAGTGCCCGAGGGGATCCTGTTCCAGCTGGCTGGCCAGGGTGGGGTGGGGGGTGGGGCTTAAAGAGTCTGCCAGAAGGGGGCAAGCCTGGCTGATGAGGGAGGAGGGGCCCTAAGCCCAGTACTCAGGAGATAACCGCACATTGTGCTGGGGACCCCAAAGCTGCACGCCCACTGCAGCCCCCACACATGCCTCTTGAGAGCATTCTTCCTCCAAGCCCTTTCTGGGACCAAAGAGGAGAAGGGGAGGATCTAGAAGTTCTGCCTCCCATGTAGGGCTCTAAACACCCATGGGCTTGTAAAAACTTCCCTCAAGGGCATAAACGAGTGCAGTGGCCTGTGCTGTTCCCTCTGAAGTCCTGTGGGCGGGCCTGCCTCAAGTGAGCTCTACAAGGAAAAGCTGGCCAGGGAGGGGAGGGTGGGCCAGCCCCCCCCCGCCCCCGTTCCGGCTAGGGGGGCTCAGATGTGGCCCTGCTGACCACCTGGGCAGATTTTCCAGCCCTTCCCTTGTTTGTGAGCCTGTCACGAGCCGCAGGTGAGTTAGCTCTCACTCACAGCCTGAAACCTCAGCAGACCTCCTTCCTCCCTGCTCAGGGCCCTCCGGCCCCCGCATCACTCCCAGGGCCTGTGTATCAGCAGGTCCCTCCCTCCGCAGCCTGGAATGCCACCTCTCTCTCCAGTAATAGAAATTCTTTTAGGGTCCAGTTCAAACACAGCCATGCGCTCAAATCTCTCTGCTCCCCTCCAGCGCCCTCTGACTCCAACCTGTTTCCTGAGTGCACCCCACACTGCTGCCCCCTTCCCTGTAACAGGGTTCCCGTGCTCCGTTCTCCCGCACCAGACAGTTTCGGTCCTGGAGGTTAAGAACCAAAGACTTCCAGGTGCCAGAGGACAGGTACAGGACTCTGCGTTTCCACCCAGTACACACTGATTGAGCACCTCCCCCGTCCAGGCCCTGGGACTGGGGCCCCGCGGTCCAGGATGTTTCCCTTTCTAGCCACCTTCCTCCTGAGTCTCTCCACGACCTCATGCCTGAGAGAGCTCTCCCACCTTCCAGATGCCAGCTCCCCTGTTCCTGCTCTTTCCTGCCTCCACTTCTGGGCATACCCAGGGTCCTCTGTTGATCTCCAGCCACAGCAACCCGGAGGTGGTTTCCAGCGGGGCCCCAAGGCTGAGGGTCCCCCGTCAGCTGGGTCCCATCTGGTTTCCCACTTCCCAGACCACTTGGCCTCTACTCCCAGAAAGAAACTTCTCTTGCCAGGGAGAGGCGCTCAGATTGTCGCGGGGAGCTGGAAGTAAGAGGCCTTAGGCAGGGGTCCTGGTGCGAGCCCAGAGAGCTCCTCTATAGGGGACACTGACTAGAGGGCAGGGGCTCTGAGCTCCCTTTCGGTGACCTGACTAGAGCCCGGCTAGTCGGAGACCCCAAGGGGCCGCTCCCCTGACCCGCGGAGCACAGCCCCACGTCCTCTCCCGCGGCCGGGCTCCGCACCGGAACAGACAACGCACAAGCTCGGAATCAGCCGGCATCCGCACCGCGTCCTCCGGCTCGAACCCGAGCTGCCCCCAAAACAGGCTGGCGCGCGGGGCTCCGGCTCCAACTCGGAAAGTAGCGGGCGGCGAGGGCCGCGCCCCGGGGCGGCCGCGGGGCAGGGCCCGCGGTACCTGTCAGCAGTTCGATCTTGTGTCCCAGCACCTTCATTTCCGCGCTGCGGCGTCGGGGAGCGCGCTCGGCCCGGCCGGGAGAGGAGCGCGGGAGGCGAGGAGCGAAGCGGCGGGAGAGCCAGGAGCCAGGCAGGCGGAGCTGCCGGGAGCCAGGAATGCTCTCGCCGCCCCCCTCGCCGCGCTCCCCCCGCTTCCAAAACGGGTTAAAAAAATCCACCAATTGCACGACCGCGCACCCCTAAAAGGCGCGCGCCGCCACCTGGTCGGGGTGAGAGCTCCGGGAGGCGGAGGGAGCGCGCGGGGTGGGTGAGGGTGACACTCCCGGCGGCGCCGGGCGGCAAGCCCCCGGCGCCTGTCGCCCTAACAAAGAAGCCGTGCCGCCCGCGCTTCCCCCCACCGCGACACCCGGGGGTCCCCGAGTCTGGCTGGGAAGAAGGGAGGGGGCGCCGCCCTCGTAAGCAAAACGTGGCCCGAGCGAGGGGGCGCGCGGGGAGGCGGCGCCGGGTGGGGGGCTGGCCGCAGCCGCCGCGGCAGGGAGAGAGGGAGAGAGGGGAAGGGCCGAGGGCGCCGCCGACTCACCGAGGGTGATGTGAGCGAGACAGACGCGCAGGCGGGGAGCCGGGCCTCGGCGTCGCGGCCGCCAACGCGCGGGTGCAGGTGCGCGCAGCTGGGAGCCCCTCGCCGCG